TCCGCCATCGGGGGAGGACCTGCTGTGGGAAGGCAGGTCAGCAAGTCACCGTGTGGGAGGCCAGGGGATGGTTTCGGGCTTGGCTTAGGAAAGGAGTCCGGTCCCTCCCACAGGTGGGGCTGTGAACACGCGGCTGCAGGTGTATTTCCACACAGGGTGAATAAAGGGCGGGGCGCCTGCCTGCCTTGACACTCAAGATGCGGTAGGAGCACTTGTTAAAGCAAGACTTTCCTATGAAGGCGAGTGTTTTCTCACACCTTTGAAAAGGCAGCTGGGGTGGGCTTTCAGCCTATCAGTTCAGACGCACATGGCTCACGTCATCATCAGACCCGGCTTCACTTCCTGACTCCAGCTTCCTGCCTGTGCCGACCCGGGGAGGCAGCAGTGATGGCTCAAGTGACCTGGTTTCTGCCATTCATGTGGGAGACCCGGATTGAGCTCCGGGCTCTGGCCTGGTTCTGCCCCAGCCATTGCAGGGGGTGAAGAGTGAATCAGCAAAATGAGCATGTTCTCTCTTTTTCTCTCTTTCTCTCTCTCTCTTTCTCTCTCTCCCACCCCACACTCCAGCTTCCCAATAAATAAGTAAATAAAGATCTTTAAAAAAAAAAAGGTGACAATAACAAACAAATTCACTTCCAAATACCATCAGGATGAACGGATGCTGAGCCCGGGGGCAGCGTGAGGGGCACGGGCACGTACAGAGCAGCCCGTGTCTCTTTTGAAGATCTTTATTAACCACAAACAACACGACAGCAACTCTGCAATGAAAGCACCTGGTGGGCCTCGGCCAAGCCGAGCCATCGCAGCCACCATCGCCGGGAAGGGACCAAGCCAGAGCCGCCCCGTGGGGTCACCTACAGGGCAACGAGAACCGGCTCTGCCGAAAGTGTAGAACCTGAGGAAGCACCAGACAGACCCAATCGAGGGGCACTCCACAGAGGAACAGGCCTGCACTCTTCAAAAACGTCGGCACCATCACACGCCAAGAAAGGTGGAAGAATGTTCCGGGTTGGCACCTGCGAGCTAAGTCAACACAGAAGCCAGCATCTCCCCTTGCTGTCAGGGCCACTGCTGGACAGTGGACAAAACCTTGAGGAAGTCCACCCACCAGGGAGCAGCAGGTGCTTGTGGTTTGGTGCGAGGCCGCGCGTCCCTTATGGAAACACACACTTTGATGGCCAGGGGTGGGTCGCCTGTTCTGAAACCCTGCTCTCAACACCGGAATTCGAGGGGATAAAGCTAGAGGGTGACACAGCAGTTTCTGGAGAGGCTGGCCAACTAGAAAGAGATGAGCAGCAAGTTTATATCTCAAATTTTAAAAACAGGGGCTGGCATTGTGGTACAGTGGGTTAAGCTGCTGCCTACAATGCCAGCATCCCATAGGAGCATAGTTCAAGTCCTGGCTTCTCCACTTCCAATCCAGCTCCCTGCTAATGTGCCTGGAAAGGCAGTGGAAGATGGCCCAAGTGCTTGGGCCCTGCCACCCACATGGGAGTCCTGGAAGGAGCTCCAGGCTCCTGGCTTTGGTCTGACCCAGCCCCAGCCATGTGGCCATATTAGAAGTGAACCAGCAGATGGACAATTCTCTCTCTCTCTCTCTCTCTCTCCCCCCTCCCCCAATGCTGCCTTTCAAGTAGATAACTAAATAAATAATTTTTTAACAGATTGTTAAGGCCAACAGACAAGAACAAATCATAGAAGGGCACTGACTGTAGGGGATTTAGAACCAGACTTAGCGCTGACAGCTTGTGTGGAAGGTGAGCTCTCTGCCCATCTCTGGGGCTCCTGGCTCCTGGCAAGCTCATGAATGCACAGTGCTTTGCAACCCGTCAGGAGCCACAGGCAACTCAGGAAACACACGAGGCTGCCGTCCACACCACCCTCCTTCTGTGAGGATTTTAAGATCTCTGTGAAGCGAACTGTGTGGTGGGATGGCCCGGGCCCACTGGCTTCGCAGGCGTTTCCCTGGGAACTTGTGCGTGGGCAGGATTCTCTCTAACCTCGTTTTCCCATGGCGGTCATTAGTTTTGGAGGTGGCATTTTCCACTTCACATTTATGCTATTTAGAAACCATGACTTGGGGCAGGTGTTGTGGTGCAGGTGTGGTAGGTTAAGCTGCTGCTTGGGACACGTGCATCCTGGATCAGAGGGCTGGTTCGAGTCCCAGCTACTCCACATCTGATCCAGCTCCTTGCTAACGCACCTGGGAGGCAGCCAATGATAGTTTAAATCTGTGATTTCCTGATACCTGTGTGGGAGACCCAGATGGAGTTCCTGACTCCTGGTTTTCACCTAGCCCAGTCTGGCAATTGCAGCTATTTGGGGAGTGAATTGGCAATTGGCACTGTCTGCGTCCTTCTCTCTGTCACCCTGCCTTTCAAATAAGTATATAAATAAATCTTTAAAAATAATTAAAAATATAACATAGAATTCTCCAATATTTAATTGCTGTGTCTTTTTTTTAAAAAAAGATTTATTTATATATTCAATAGAACGACAGAGAAAGAGAGAGACAGAGAGGCCTTCAATCTACTGGTTCACTCCCTAAATGGCCTCAACAGCCAGGGCTGGGCCAAGCTGAAGTCAGGAGCCCAGATTCCATCCGGGTCTCCATGTGGGTGGCAGGGAAGAAATCACTTTGTTCATTATCTGAGCTGTCCCAGGCACATTAGCAGGAAGCTGGATCAGAAGCAGAGTAGCTGGGACTTGAACCGGCGCTCTAATATGGATGCTATCGCAAATGACAGCTGAGCATGGCCACAACGCTGGCCCCTGCATAACGTTTCTATTATGAATGTCACAGGAGTTTTCTAGGACCACACAGGTAACAAAAGCAGAGAAAACTGAAAATCCTTATCACATCCTGGGTCACGGGTCTTCCCAGCACATCACTGGCTCTCCTACAGAGTGGCCCGCAGCCTACAGTTCTTGTATTGTTGGACTTTGAGGTTGCTTCCGAATTCCCACTGTGCCAACAGCGCCTCAGCAGACTCCTCTGTGTGTACAGAACTGTGTGCACTCTGGGTTCTCTCCTGAGACGGGGTCCTGGTAAAGAGGAACGGCTCCGGGGCGTGAATGTATACAAGGCTATTCCCACCCGGACTGCTCATAGTCCCGCAACAGAGCCCTAGCTTTACCAGCATTTTCGCAGTAAGATTCTGTGCCGTGGGCTGGTGCCGTAGCCTGGCAGGTAAAGCTGCCGTCTACGATGTTGGCATCCTATATGGGCAACCAGTTTGAGCCCCAGCTGCTCTGCTTCTGATCCAGCTCCCTGCTAATGCACCTGGGAAAGCGGCAGAGGGAGGTCCAAGTTCTTGGGCCCCTGCACCCATGTGGGAGACCCAGATGAAGCTCCTGGCTCCTGGCTTCCGCCTGGGCCAGGCCTGGCTGTTGTGGCCATTTGGGGAGTGAACCAGTAGATGGACGACATCTCTCTCTATCTTTCTCTGCCTCTGTCTCTCCCTCTCTGCCTTTCAAACAAATAAATAAATCTTTTTAAAAAATCTGTTTTTTTTTCTAATTTAATGAGGTAATGGAACCTTGTTGTTAGACTGTTCTGAGTATTAACACGGCTAAACTGTTTTCCACAAATCTTTATCCACTGCTTTTCCTGTTTTGTCTTACTGTGTCCTTTGTCTGTTTTTTAGGATATTTGTAGTTTTTTTTTAATCAGTTCCTAAAAGCTCCGCACAGAGCAGAAATAGCAACCTTTTGTGCAGTCATCATTTAATATACTTTCTAAGACTGGAAGGTGTGAAGAAAACTGATGTTCAGTAGCCTGAAATAGCTAGGGGGGGAAAAAAGGTGGCGGACCGTGTAGTCTATGCCTGCAGACCAGACCGCTCACATCAGGACGACGGAGACAGAGACAGAGACGTACACTGCAGACGCCTCAGGAGGGCCGTGGGCAGCTCCGGCTGGAGGATGCCGGGCAGCGTGTGCACCGGGGAGACCCACGTGCTGCCGAACCCTGCCAGACTCCCTGGCAGCCGGGACGCGGTGATGGTCTCTCCTAAGAAGCGGGTGGATCACAGTCCACAGACGTGGTGGACACTTGGCTGCTTTTCCATGGCCAGCAGTGGCCACAGAGGCGTCCCTGGAAGGAACTCTTGGCCAGCATCACAGGGTCCCTAACTCCGCACTCTGGCTCGCTAGGAAATCCCTCCTTCTTGTAGGAGCCGCCCCGACTCTGTTCATTATTTTAAATTGTGTCCAACATTTTTGGGAAACAGAAGAGATTTCTTGCAAAGAAAGGTCCAGTCCTGGCTCCTGCTCAGAGGCTAGAGCACCCTGGTCTGACCCGACGGCAGGTGGGTGGGATGCTGGGCAGGGAGCGGGCATGGCAGCCCCTCTTCCCAGGGTCCCCACAGCACCTGGGACCCGAACAGCCGAGAAGCAGGTCACTCCATTTCTCAGGGACCTGCTGGGCTCCAACCAGCAGCCACCAGAGCCAGGGGTCAGGTGACTCTCCCCAGCTCGCTGCCCCAGCGTGTGACACCAGGTGACCTGTCGCTACAAAGTGCTGACCATGCGGGCGAGTTTTTAATAGAAAGGGCCTCTCCTTGGGGCAGCGTTTGGTGCCCTCGCCTGCAGGAGGGAGAGGAAAGCGACCCCTGCCCTGGGCTGGGCGCAGCGCGCGGGAAGATTGCAAACCCCGAAATCACACAGCAGGAGCCCCCTGCCTCCCTGACCCCCTCCCCCGAGCCGCCCCCTGCCGCACTCTACAAGGTCAAGTCCACCTAAGGCAGAAATACACAAACACCTCAGAAAAGGCGGCGGCGGTGCCACACCCCGCGCGTTGCCCGGACTCCAGCAGCAGAGAGGCCGGGGCCGCACGAGGCGGGTGCCCACCGGCACGCCGCCCCCCGACCCGGCTCCGGGGGCGAGCTCCGCGCCCAGGGGCCAGCCTCGCCCGCGAGGCACGGGCTGGACCTCCGCCAGGCGGGGTGGGCCTGGGCGGGCGCTGGGGGTCGACGGAAAGCCGCGCCGCCGCCACCCACCTGACGACGTGGAAGGCCCAGAGCAGGCGGTCGGGCTGGGGCGCGTGCGCGCCGTGCACGATGCTCAGGTACAGGTAGAGCGCGACGGCCACGGTCCAGAAGAAGGAGCTGGTGTTGGCGAAGGTGGAGAGCGCGCCCTGCAGCACGCAGTCCCACGACGGGCCCGCGAAGTCCTGCAGCACCCCGTAGAAGTAGGAGGCGGCCGACAGGAGGTCCGCCAGCGACAGGAAGAGCAGCAGGCGCCGCGCGCGGCTGCGCAGGTCCGGCCACAGTGCGTGCGTGGCCACCAGCAGGCCCGAGCCGAGCGCGGAGAGCGCGCACGACAGCAGCACCACTGCGCGCTCCGACGGCACCAGCACGGTGGGCGGCGCGGGCGGCGGCATGGTCGGCGGGGCGGGGGCCAGGGTCGCCGAGCCGACGAGCCGGGCAGCCGCCGGCGTCTGGGCACCGAGGCGCCCGCGGGCAGCGTCCCGGCACCCGCCCCGCCCGCGTCCCGGCCCCGCCCGGCAGGACAGAGCCCCGGCGCCTCGGCCTGAGCCCCACCCCGGACCACGCCCCGGACTGCCGAGCCCCGCCCCGGACCACGCCCCCGGACCGCCGAGCACCCCCCGGACCGCCGAGCCCCGCTTCGGACCACGCCCCCCGGACCGTCGAGCCCTGCCCATGACCACGCCCAGGTCTATGCCCCGCCCACGCCCCGCCCTCTGCCCTCGGCCGCCGGCGGGGCCCAGCATCCCGCACGCCGCTGCGCTCGCCAGGTGGCCGGGACAGCCTGCGCCCCGGGGGCGGGGGGGCCTGGCTTTTTCCTTCCCTCCCTCCAGCTGGCGGGCCGGCTGTGGGCTTTGGGGGCGGGTCTGGAGACAGCTGTGTGGGCGATGCTCGTAGCTAATTAGGTGTGGATTTTTAAGGAGGAAACATCTATTCCCAATGCAAAGGTTCTCTTGCTCGTTTACAAATCTGAGACGTCTCAGTGCAGTGTAACTCGCACGCCGAGCATCGGACCTTGTCGATGGGGCGGTTCCGTGGGTGCGAGTTAATGCCGCCTGATTCCACGCTGGCGCCGCCCTGGGCCACCCCCGGCCCCCCACAGCCCCGGCCACCGGACTCCCTGCGCGCGGCACCGTCAGCCCCGCCTTTCGCCCCACGGCGGCTCCCACGCGTGATCCCAGTCGCTCGGCCCGCAGAGCCCCAGTGCGCGTTTCTGCGTGGGCGTCCTCTCCGCGCGTGCCGGGGGAGGCCCCGCGGGGCGGCGGAGCCTCCTATCCGCCGTGAAGACAGCCCAGCCCCCGGGGGGGGGGGCCCTCTCCGGTTCCGTCCCGGCCGTGCGCGGTGATGGACGTGTGTCTTTGACAAAGCGCAGCTCTTAGCTGTCATCACAGCGGCTTCTCTTCTGGCACAGTTTTAAAAAGCGCGATGTTTGTTCTGGATTTAGGATCTGGAAAGGCTTCCTCCACTCTGTGGGATGTCTTTAATTTCTGGGGAGTAAACAGAGGTGTTTTTTGGGGATGCCCAGCAGAGCTATTTTTGTTCCTAGCATTGGTTCTGCTCTTAGTGTCACATCTAAGAAAGCAGTACCTAACCTCGGCTCCTGAAATTCTGCACCTGTGTCTTCCTGCTTGTTACCACACTATTCTGGTTAATGCAGCCTGGTAGTAAGTTTTCAGATCAGGAGATGAATCCTCCAACGTTATTTTTTTCAATATTGCTTTGGCAATATTAGAGAGAGAGAGAGAGAGAGAGAGAGAGAGAGAGAGAGAGAGAGAGAGAGAGAGAGAAGGCTTCCATCCTCAAACCTACTACCCTGCTACAGGATATGGGCATAGCACACAGCGGCTGAACCTGCCACACTGCTGTGCTCACCCCTGCGAAATTCCACATCCATCTGAGGGTCAGATTTTTCCACTTCTGCAAAAATGCCAGCTGAGAATGCGATGGGCAGTGCTTTGTCTGTAGATAAACTGGGGGAAATGACACTCTCCTAATAGTGCTAAATGTCCTTATCCACGCGCCTGGGACGTCTTCACATCTGTTATGTATGCTTTGACTTCTTTCAACGATGTTTTGTAGTTTGGAGTGAACGTTCGTTTATTTTGTATTCGGGAGGGGCAGGCGTTTGGCGCACTATTACGACACTGTTTGGGACACCCGCATCTCAAATGGCACTCCTGGATGGAGTCCCAGTTCCACTTCTGGTTCCAGCTTCCTGGAAATGTGCGTGTAAGGAGGCAACAGGTGATGGCTGCAGTACTGGGTTCCTGCCAGCCACGGGTTGAGTTCTTGGAACCTCGCTTTGTCCTGGTCCAGCCTTGGCTATTGTGGTCATCTGAGGACTAAACCAGTGGGTGGAAGATCTCTCTTTCTCCTTAATTTTATATAAAAAAAATCAAGCATTGTTTTCATGAACTATGTATACTAAAAAGTGCTTAAAACATAAATAGATAATTTAATGAATAATTATAAAGCAAATACCCATCAGAGCAAGAAATATAATGTCATCAGTACACCAGGAACTGTCCCCTTTAGTCACTTTCTTGCCTTAAAAAAAAAAAAAAAAAAACTCATGGCCAGTGCCGCGGCTCACTAGGCTAATCCTCCACCTAGCGGTGCCGGCACACTGGGTTCTAGTACCAGTCGGGGCACCGGATTCTGTCCCGGTTGCCCCTCTTCCAGGCCAGCTCTCTGCTATGGCCAGGGAGTGCAGTGGAGGATGGCCCAGGTGCTTGGGCCCTGCGCCCCATGGGAGACCAGGAGAAGTACCTGGCTCCTGCCTTCGGATCAGCGCGGGCCACAGCGCACCAGCCATGGCGGCCATTGGAGGGTGAACGAACGGCAAAGGAAGACCTTTCTCTCTGTCTCTCTCACTGTCCACTCTGCCTGTCAAAAAAAAACCCAAACAAACAAAAAAAACAACTCATGTATTCATTGCTAAACAAGTCTGTTGTTTGACCTTACAAACTTTATATGACGGGAATTGTACCTTTTGTCTCCTTTTGTGTCTTCTGTGTTGTTCAACGTTACTTTTATAGATTCATGGATGTTCTTACCCATAGCTGCAATGCATTCATGTTCACTGCAGTATAATATTCCATCGTGTTAATCATATATCCATTCCTGCTACTGTTTGGGGACACGTGGGTTGTTTCCAGGTGCTGGCTATGACGAGCAATGCTGGAATGAGCACATACTCTTTCTAATCAGACAAGCAGTTACACAGAACAGGTCCCAGCAGCGAGAGCAGACACGCTGGTGACATTTGCTCTGCTGACAGCTGAAAAGCAGCTGCTTTGTCTCCCGGTCACCTCTGACTGCTCCAGAGTCCCGTGACCTCCTCCTGCGAGGACCCCAGTCCGTAAACAGATCCAGCCCAGCGTTGTCTTTGAAGCTCTTGGCTTTTTACTGGTGTGACTTCTTCCAAGCTTGCGTTTTGCAACCAGCCCCAGGCTCTGGCACGCGGTGTGGCAAGAGGGAATGACTCCTGTCATTAAAATACCTTAGGGTATTTGGGGGCCCAGGGGGAGGGGCCAGGCCTTGTGGCTGCGTGTGTGGCTGGCAGGCTGCTTGCCTACACCTTTCCTGCTTTATGGAGAGTCAGGTGCTTTGCCCGCCTCGCCTGTGAGCTGAGCATTTTATAGCCAATTTCAGACCAGGAGATTGCTTGCAGAACCACATTCAAAGAACTTGCATGCTTCCCACGAGTGGGGCAAAGTGGGAAAGATGTAATGATCTAGATGTAGCCTTGAATTGCTTAGAAGATAAGCTTGAAGCTAATTTCCCACACCCAGAGCTCGCTGAGGTGGCCCCGTGGGTCCAGGAATCGTCAGGAGGTGGGAACATGACTCCCAAGGTGCCCGGGGTCTTGAGCCGCCTGCTGTGGCCTCCACCACACACGCCTGTCCCTGGGGGTCTCAACAGCATTCCTGGGGCTCTGCTTTCCTACTGTAGGGACTGCTGGTCCTCTCTGGGGGCCTGATTGAGGGGAGAAAACCGTGAGAAGCCCCAGGCTCCAGGCGGCTTGCAGCAGCGCCTACCCCATATGGATCACAGCATCCCATGAGCCACATTCTAAATTTCCTCTCGGATTGTCTCCCTCCTCGGCTTTGACGGAATTGATAAGGAACCCAGCTGGAGTCTTCTGTCGACCTCCAAGTCTCTGTCCATGCCCCAGCCAAGCCAGCTGGCCCTTGTCTGCTGCTCCACGTCCAGCGTCCAGAGGGGTTGTGTCCAGGGTCCTGACACATGGTGGTAGCCTCCCTCTCACCTTCGTTGTCTGGCCCAGATCCAGAAAGCCCCCATGACCATGGGTAAAGGCCCCAGGAGGGAGGCTGGCCTCGGTTTGCTCCCTCTCCCCACCTCTCACTCCAGGATCCGGCACAGTCTCCTGGGCTCTGAAGCTGCCGAAGAGGTGACTATTTAGTATCCATGTATTGGAGGAGCCCTGAGCGATCTTCTGAGGTCAAGCCCAACGTCAGGAACAAGTCACATGCGTGGTTTCTCAGACTGGAAGAAAAGAGGGGCTTTCCTCCTGCTTGCGGAGGGAGGGGCCGGTCGCCTTTCTCATTTCCCTGTTTGAAGGGGAGGAAGGTGACGCCAGCTGGCCACATCTCGTCCTCCCTACCCCAGGTGCCACCACGAGCCGTGGGAAAGGAACCCAGCCCACGTGGGCTCCTCTCCCGTTCCCCTCTCCTCTGACATCCCCTCTCCTCTGATGCCCCCTGGCGTGTTGGGCGACTGAGGGGCTACACCCATGAGAGAGCAGGACGATGCTGGTGGCCACACTGCAGGAGGCAGGGGCCCTGACCTTCAAGGAGCACCATCTGGCAGGTGTGCGTTCCTGCAGCAGTGCCCGCCCACCCATCACCTGCAGCCTCCCCCACCCTGCCCCCAACGCAGAGTGCTGCTGCTCTGAGCTTGGGGGTCACTTGGCCCCTCTGCCTGCACAGTCCTGAAAACCCAGACCTGAGGGTGGTCTCTGGAGCCCTGTCCCTCACTGCCTGGTCAAATCAAAGAGCAGCTAAGCCACCAAAGGGAGGGCTTTTCATCCTCTGTCCCTCTACGCAGAGCCTTGCTGTGCAGGTAGGGCTGGCTTCAAATATACGCTGGCTCCAGGAGACCCAGGGGCTGGCCCTGCACCTCTCTCCTGGGCTTGGGTTCGCTGGGCAGAACTCCAAAGCTCTCCCCCTCCCCAAGATTTCCATCCCTTGGTTATTCAATCAAATGCTGATGGGGGTACTGTTGTGTGTGGGGGTGGGGGGAGCATTGAAGATTTTAACTACAGTCCTGTGTCCGTGGACATGAAGAGGTCCCCAGGCTGGCCCAGTCCCATCTGGCACACCCTTTAAAGGTGGCAGAGGGGGGAGGGGGTTGGGAGAAGGGGCCATCACGAACAGTCCCCTCCCCAGATGCCTTTTAGAATCTTCCAGAGGATGTCAGATCCCTTCTTTGGCTTTAGAAAAGGTGATCAGATGTGGGCTAACCTGGACTGAAAACCTTGGCTTTACATAGCACAGGGCATTGAAGGAAAAGT